TTTTTTTTTTTTTTTTTTTTTTTTTTTTTTTTTTTTTTTTTGTTTCAGCTGAGCATTGCAGCAAACCTGTAGGTTCTCTCAGTCCTCCTCTGCCACACACATTAACATATCAGCTAAATATGTGGAACATAACCAAAATCTCCTGCTGATCCACTCAGAGGCTGTGCCGTGGTGTATTTGCACTTGGCAGGATTTTGCTGCTTCCAAGAGAATTCCCAAATTCAACTATCTGAAAAACACTTGTGATTTTCAAACATTATTTGTGGAAAGAGGAAATCATCCTCTTGATCCATCCTGCCAAAAGAATATGGACATCTTTGCAGCCTGAGAAACGCAACAGGTTGTTGTTATAACAACTACAAACCAGATGACCTCCCATTTCCTCTCATCAGCCAGCTGCAAAAGTCCTGTAACAGTCTCAAACTGAACATCTGACCCCGGTTTATGCAACTCCCCTGTGACGGTTTCATAAGCTTTTTGTCACTTCACTCAATTGTTTGTTGAAAGTATTCACAGCTAGTTCGCCCAATGCAAATAGTTCAGTATGACAGATAGCCTTATAGTTAGGCTCTCCATCTCCAAGGCAACCTCACAACTTTGTTCTATGAGTACACTGTGTCATGAAATAAAAAAGAAAACAATAGGATACGCAGAGATAATTCCAGCTCTAACAACCCATAGTGCTACTGTGTCAGTTAGCTGACTTAAAGAGACATTCTCAGGCTAGTTATTTCAGCGTGGGAAGGTGTCGCAAGTACAGCCTTTCTCCCTGAAGTTATGTAAGCCATATGGTGTCCACGAAGAGGATGTTGTATACGTTGCACTTAAACTTGGAACTCAGGATTTTAAAGTTTCCAAAGAGTTACATCGAATTGCTTGAGGGTGTGAAGATATGATGATCTCATGGCTTCACCAGAGCACTCAAACCCTACTTCTGTACAATTCCCTCCCTTAAGGCTGCAGGCATTGAAGAAGCTTCACTAACATGGTTTTGAGTTGGATGTATCACACTGCTCCTATCCAGCTGTATCTGCCCATCACAGTGATCAGCTGAGTTGGTACCAGGCTTGAGCTTTTCTAGAGGAAAGATTCATTCTTTCCTTTCAGCATCATTTCAAGGTGGCCTCTGCGGACAATGTTGCAGCAGTATCCTGTAGGAGTGTTATTAATATGGGTCCCTACTGAGAGTAGCAGATCTCAGCAATAAAATGAATGAAGTTTGTCAATCCTGTAGTGGTTACATATTCAGCTGGTTTGCCCACTCAGAAAGACAAAGATCATATGCAGTCCACTCAGTCCTGCTCTTTCCTTATGACCCTGAGTCTTAAAACTCATTTTTTCCATATGAAAGTTCTTGCCAGCCTTGTCTTCAAATCTATATTATGCAATCTCTCAATGCAGCTTTAGACTCTGAGAAAACTTTGTTGTGAGGTTGTTTGGTGTTTTTTTCTTGCCCTACTCTGAACCCACACCTTCTTTTACTATGTTCTCCCCCGGAATGTTGCTATTCTTTCTTCACTAGAAGGAGTCAGAGGGGTCTCACAATCAGCAGAAAGAAAGGGAAAGATTTTACAAATAACAACCTGTTTCTAAAGAAGAGTAACACTGCCACACTTAAAGAGACTGTCTCAGGAGAAATCAGTTCTTATTGCTGAGGGATGCCAAGAGCTGCTGAATATCTCTGGGCAAGTGCAGAGTGTTGTTGAATCTCAGTGGAAGCTGACACCTCCACCTCCCACAGTCAGTTGGAAACTTTCCACTGCTGGGAAGCATGTGAACATCATTACTCTTTCCGCTATCCTGAGACAGCAGCATAACCAAAAATGCTCTGCTTTTTGTCCAAACGGCTGCTGAGAACACAGAAATAACACTGTTGGAGAAAAAAAAAAAAAAGTTAAAAAAAAAAAAAAGAGTAATTGTTTCTAAAAGCAGTTTTCTATGTCTTCTAAAATCAAAGGCTGAGAACAAATGTGTGCAGGGTTAACGCTGACACAAATCATTCCGTGTTCTGATTCTGCTGCTCTCAAGGCTGGAAGCTCCTGTGCAGCTGGGAGCACAGCTATCAAAGCTGTTGTGCATCCCAATCCATGGGTTGGGCCTGAGGAAGTTCTGCTGGGATTCCCTTTGTACTCTGTCCTTCAAATGTGATTAACATCTGTTTTCTTAAATTAGGAAATTGGAGAGAGGCTTTATGCCTTTGAATTCTTTTGAATGCTGCATGACAGTCATATATTCTAGGTATTTGGCAATATGAGGGTTTGGTGATTCTGCCTGGCTGCCTGAAGACTGCTTAGAGCTGTTGTCAAAGCTTTATTCACGTACTATCTGAATTAGGTAATGCGTCACCCTTCTGCTGCTGCAATTTGGATCTTTGCATAGGAGTACCTCTGCCAACAGGACACTTTCTTCAGTGTTAGGACAGAAGCTGCCTTCTGCAATGAACTTTATACTACAAACAAGAGCTATTAGTTCACTTGCAATGTTCTCAGCACTTCTGTGGTCACCTTGCTCTGTAGCTTACAGATTCCGATTCTAGTAAGGTGGTTTTTTGTTCGTTTGGCTTTTTTTCCTTAATTGTTGTTTTTGTGATTGTTTTTTGGCCGCTAACGTCCTGAATCAGTTGACACATTCACCTCGCATTCAAGCTGCCAACAGATGTATGTGTTTGTCGACATGCACAGGGCTGGGCCAGGGTCAGTGTCCCCGGGCTCAGCCTTGTGGACTCAGACGCGTTTGCATCTGCTATCCAGGACAGCTCGGTTCCCTGTGTAGTGCACATTCCACCCGAATCTTTTCCCGTGGCCACGTTTATAATCGCTCTTGGAAACGCTTCCCCTCTGTCACACTGGACCAACTGATCAACAAGTTAAAAATTATTAAGGGTGTGGAAGAAGGAGAAGCACACACACAAGCAGGCCCATACACAAAGGCTGCGAGCGCTCCGCCGGCGTGCTCGGATGGGTCGTTTCACAGGCAGGCAGCAGCCGCGAGCAGGACCGGGCACCTGGCAGCGGGATAATGCGACTGGCAACCCGCGAGCCACAGATTCCTTTCGCCTTCTGGTTTTGGGCACGTAGGGCCGCGCGTGCGGACAGCCATAGCGGGACAGCGGGACCAGCACCTGCCCGTCACCCCGAGCTCGCCCCAGCCACGCAGCCCAACTCCGCCGGCTAGCAACACCACGCGGCCCGCCCTGCTCCGCGCTGGGGAAGCCCCCGACGGGACCTCAGCGCGGCCGTCCCGAGGAGAGCCTGCTCAAAACCACGGCGGGTCCCGAGCTCTGCTCCTTGTTTGAGGTCACCAAGCCCGGCATCGTCCACCGTCTCCCCGCGGCTCTGCTCCGCGCCTCCGTTCCCGTGGCCGACGGGCCGAGAGACCGCGCCGCGGCGGGTCTTGCCGTCAGGCAGGCTGACGGGCACCTCAGCGCAGTGCCGTGGGGCCCTGGAGGCGTTGTGGGGGGGCGGGGAAGCGACTCTACTTGGGGACGCCTGGCTCGGCGGCTGCGGCGAGATGAGCGGCAAGGAAGGTGACGGTGCGCCGCCTGCCGCTGCCTCCCGCGGGCCGGCGGAGCTCTCGGAGCCGGCGGGAAACGGGGCAGCGGGAGAGGCGTGAGGAGGGTGGACGGGGGGAGAGGACCGGCTCGGCTGGGCTGTGTGGTGCCCCAGCTGTTCCCTCGGCCGGGCCTGTGCTAGCTCTTGCAGTTCCCGTCCCTGCTGTTAAAAAACATGTAGCAAAACCTGAATTTGTTATTGGGCCTGTAAAGTGTTAGGAAGTGTCTGTCAGATCTCGCCGTCAGCCTGTGTGCTGCTCAGACAGAGCTTCCTCCGTCCAGAAAGCAGATAGCGTGGCCTTCCTTTGCTTTTCTCATCTATTTTCTTGTCGTTTTCTGAAATTCACATTGCTGTTTATGCAGCGGCCCCTCATCTCTCTCTATTTCTCTCCAATTTTTTGCCCCTGCTTCAGGAGGACCTGGTCTGTCTTATCTATCTATCTATCTATCTATCCATTTATTTATTTTCCTGTGAATTATTTTGATGTTCCTAACGTCTGGTGCAAGGCAGCGAGCTGGATGCTCTGCGCTGCTTCAAGGGCTTGTGTTTGTAACGTGCTCAGTGCTACAGGAAAAACAAAGCCCTGAACCCACGTCCTAACAGAAAAGAAGGGAAAAATGATGTTCAGTTTCCTCTTTTAGAAAGTAACAACGCCCACTTCTGGTTTGAGTTTGGGATAATAAACAAACGGAAGCATTTTAAAATCCAGTGTTCTTCTGTAACTTCTAAGTAGCTTCCTTTTGTTTGTCTTTTAAGGAAATTAAGAGAACTACACGTGTTTAGAAAGGTTTGCTAGTATGCAAATGTGCCAAATATTGGCCTCTGCTCGGAACACAAAGCTTGCAGCTGTCACGAGGAGGAGATAACAAAGAGAAGTGGTTACAATGTGAATGATTCTCTCTTTGGTGAAGGAGAGACTGAAGGAAGGAACAGGACCAAGTGCAAGTTGACAGTAAAAGGCAATCCAGAAGAGAGGGGTTTTGAGTAATGGTTTGAAAAGGGACACTAAGACAGGAGTAAGTAAGGGCAGTTGAAGGAAACAGCTTTTGCAGGGTAAAAAGAAGTCTTTAAATGAGCGGAGTGTAAGGACCTAAGGTGCTGCACCACAGGAGGTAAATCTAGATAGATGAATAGTGGCAGTCTGCCTAATTTATGCCTTGAGTACTTTTTTTATTACCGAAGACCAATGACAAAAATTATGGTCACTTAGGAGAAGAAGGCTGAGGGGAAACTATAATTGTCTTCAAATTGTCTTCAAATACCTGTAAGGTGATTGCACTGAGAGCGGGATGGGTTTCTTCTCACTGGTGACAGGATGAGGAGAAATGGCCTCAAGGTGCACCAGGGGAGGTTTAGGTTGTATATCAGGAAAAACTTCTTTACTGAAAGAGTTGTTAAGCACTGGAATAGGCTCCCCAGGGAGGTGGTTGAGTCACCATCCCTGGATGTGTTAAGAACTGTTTAGGTGTGCTCAAGGACATGATATAGCAGAAGGTTGTTAGAGTTAGGGTGTTATGATTAGGTTGCGGTTTGACTTGATGATCTTAAGGTCTTTTCCAACCTGAGCATTCTGTGATTTGGTAATTATTGTACAATAAACTACTACTGGTAGGAGTTTAAATATTTTCTGTCAAGTTGGATATTAAAAAAAAAAAAATTAAAAAAAAAGCAACAGAACAAAACATTGTTGAATGCTGTAGGTCCTTTTTAATGCAATAATTTCCATGCAGCTATTCCCTTATGGAAAGGAAACATAAAAGAATATGAACAGCTTATGACAAAAGTACTTGGGATCCTACTCTGGTCATCCATTAGAATTGGTAAAAGTAGTCCTATTATTCACTAGGAATGTGGTGGAACAAATAGTGTGGTATTGTAGAGATGACAGCAGCTGCTAATGAAAGTTACCTCATTCTATCATGCAAAATATCAATGGAGCCATAAATCCTCTGAAGACAGCGTTCTGACATTACGCATGTTCTGGCAAAACTGGTTTATTTTTAAATATTTTTATTTGTGTGTGTTTGTTTTTTATTAATAGGATCAGGTGGCTTCAGAAAACGAAAGCACGATAATTTTCCACATGGTCAAAGAAGAGAGGAAAAAGAGAATGTTAATCCTTCTTCTCCTTTGATGACATCTTTTAAATGTAAGAAAGAATTTGGAAAGCCAGATTATGAAAAGCGTGCATTGCGGAATTTGCTAGGAATGATGTATTTAGTGATGGAATAAGCCAACTTCCTCAGGGGGAGAGATTTGAAAATAGTGAAACTCATGCTTTCTACATTTAGAAGATGCTGTTTTGCTGTTTATACAATCATGGCCTGAGAGAAGGGTTTGGCGTGGCAGCACCTGGCATGTGACCTGCTCCCTTTTTCATCTTGCGTCCTGTTCCCCTTTCCCACCCTGCTGAACTTGATGCTAAGTAAACTGCAGCATTCCAGCAGGCACAGGGCCCTTTGGTAGCAGGGAAATGCATGAACTGCACAGATGCAAAATCTTGTCTGTTGTGACAAAAGGACATGGCTGCCTTTGGGGAGGCTGAGAAGGTTCCCAACTGCTGACCATAGTTATGGTGGTGCATGGATGACCAAGTTTCTTAAATGGAAATCTGAATGCGTGGATTTATGAATTGGTATCTGCTTATACGTGTGCTTTCTGAGAATCTGAGTTTAACAAACTGCAGTAGGCCTCTATGGAGACACTTTGTTTTGATTGCCTTTTTTAAGAACAGCTTATATTTCAGTTGTTGTTGTTGTTGTTTTTCCCCAAATAAGCAGGTGTTGTGAACTGCCCTCAAGCAAAACTGTTTTCACAGTATTTACATCAGACTCAAATGTTAGTTAGTCAATTCAGTTTGATTCTCTCAAACTCTCTCATTAGGTAAGCCCTGACAAGCAAAAGGTGGTCTTCAGAAATGAGGAACATTAACAGATGAAGGAAGGGAATGTGATACAGGGCACAGATCAGATCTCAGTGTAAAATTTTCCCTGCTTCCCATATTATTTTTTTTCCTAAGGAAGATGAAGAAATAAAAGCTGGATGACTGTTAGAGATGATGCCTTCAGCACCATATAATTTCCTTGGTGTCTTTAACCACATGTTAAAGCAGCTGTATGAGTCAGCTTGGCAGATTATTAACTTTGACCCCGGCACTTTTATCTTGAATAATGTATATACACTTGTACTCTAAATTGAGTAGTGCAAATGTATTTTCAAGTTTAATTTTTCACTCTCAAATGTATCAGGATTTTTCTTGAGGATGCTGCTAATTTGAATTCAAAACATCCCTTATTTCCCTCCTTTCTCATGAGATCCAATCAGTAGCGTTTGATAAATTTCAGAACAGAGTAAGGGATGCAGTTCATCCTGACTTTTCAGGGTTGTAGTGTTTGTGTTCCACAGAGCTATGAAGTATTTCTTGTTGGTAATTCACTGGTGGACTCAACTCAAATAATTTGGTGGAGACAGACCAGTCATGCGTATGAAAGGCTTGGAGCTCAGCAGGAGCATTTGTGCTCATGTTTCAGAAATACAAAACAAAACAACAAAAAAAAAACACCATATTTTTTCTCCAGGCAATGGGAATTTTTAGCTTCATCTAAACTTTGTAAACTGCTACACTTTTCTGACAGATATTCACTTGTTAGATACTCTATTAAAAAAAAAAAAAGAGACCTCTTAGCTTGCTTTCACCATCTTCTTGCGTGGATCCTTTAATGCCTCAGATAGTTATGCAGGAAATGTACTTAAACACTTCTAAGTATCTATTAATAGTTTATTTAGTGGACTAATGGCATATAAAATGTTAATGTTGTATGTGAAGCATTTGTTCACAGTTTTCACTAAGAAAATTACGTATGCATCCTCTCTTAATCTTCTTTCTCGTTAGGCAGAGAAAATTTATGTCAGTAAGTCAGAAATCTTATTTTAAATCTTTATTTTAAATAATTGGCCTCACTTTGCTATTTTTAGTTCTTAGGGATATTAAAATACTTTTGCTCAATTCTAGTTTTGATGTAAAATAGAACCTTTCTTTTTAGTATTCTGTTCATTTTTAAGTGTATGGTTTGGGCTGCTTAAAACAGTATCGGGGTTGATGTGTATTTAAGCCTGACTTACTAAACAAAAAATTATATTAATGATGAATTTTGCTGCTCAAGACTGAGGTTTCATAGATACGTAGCTGTCTAAATATACAGGTTGATCCCTCAAGGAGGCTTTTCAGAAATATGTGCGGTTTTTGAAGAGCCAAAAATGGGACCTGGGTTCCTGCATACTTGTGAGTCCCTGCTTGGTGCGTACCTGCACCATAAGACATGCTGTATTTTGTTCAGAAGTTATTCTGTGCCTTTGCTCAGCGTTGAGCTGCAGGGTTGCGCAGTAGCTGTGGCAGGCAGGGGGCAATGGTGGTCTCCACAGCTATGTCCCGTGCAGGAGCACTGCCCACACTGGGGAAAGGCTGATGGGGACGGGGACCCACAGCTGTTACTGTGGTGCAGGATCTCAGCTTTTCCCTTACGCTGTATACTGTGATAATCATGCTTATTTCTGTAAACACTGCCTCTGCAGCATTTCAGCTGGAACTCGACACCAGGCATGATAAGTATGAACGGCTTGTGAAGCTCAGTCGTGATATCACAATCGAAAGCAAAAGAACAATATTTCTACTCCACAGGTATATCAGGTGAGTCACACCGAGAGCTAAAGTGTTTGTGGAAACCTATAAACTGTCTTCTGTTTGTGATTAATAGCTGAGATGTTTTGTTGAGAAAGATTAATTTCTCATAAACATTCTTTAGCAGCTGATTGCATGCACCAGTTAGAGAATTAATAGATGCTGGCTCAGGTTTTTTAGTTGGTTTTATTGGAATGTTAAACAGGTTCAAAGTAGAGTGTAACAGCAGATGAGAGCTTTTCAGCTTCCAGCAAGCTGGGAGAGAGGAGCATGCAGCCTTCCTTCACATTAGTCACCTCTGCTGTTACTTCCCCTTTTGGGGTCTTGTAACCTCACCCTCAGTGATCAGTGCAAAAAGTGTAGGTAGCCTGGGTTGTTCACTGCATTCTTCAATCTAAGAGACTTGTCTGTGAAGTTTTGAACTTGTGTATGTTTTGTGTCTTTGTTTTGCCTTCAAGCAATCACTGGAAGCCAGAAACGAAGCAGGAAAAGAATGGGAAAATTTAGAGCTTTGTGTATCCAGCTGAATAAAATATTTACTCGTCCTACATGTAACTGCTATAAACAGCTCTCCCTGTTCCTTCTCCCAGATTAATTTTTTTCTTTCTTACCTGCGCACATCTGTTGTGGTAGTGTCTATTTATAGTTACCATAGTAGTAACAGTTATAAATAGGGATTAGGAAATTGCCCTCTTTTTAACTTGGTCTTTTGTGAGGAGCTACTGCGATAATTCTAGTAACTGCCTCAACCTTGACTGTGAATAGCTGTTCCCACTGCAGGGGCTAGATGTGCTGGCAACTGGAAGAGGAAAGAACAATAATGAGACACTCATTTATTCTGAATTTTAGATTCCTGTTTTTAAGATACGTGTGTTATTGTGAGAGTGGAAGCTTTCTGTGCTATATTTTGATTTCCCAGTCCTCTGGTTTTAGCCATTATTGTGGCTTTACTTTCTGAAGTCTGTTTGCTTTTAAATGTTTTCTTCAGACCAGTCTATCTGTCTGCCAGTATAGCTAATAATATACTACGTTGATAGTTTGAGGTTGGAGGAGGAATGGTTTTAAACTAAATCTTACATGCCAAATATATATTGTTTGTTAATCAGGTATTTCAGCTGTTCTTTCATAACACAGTTCATAATTACTTTCTAAAAATGTATATACTTTACACGTGTTCTGTAACATGTTGCAGAATAGTGATATATTTTTTTTTAATGAACTTCTGCAAATACTGCTTGTTTCTCAGAATACTCTAATGAAGCATTTGTTCTTACTCAAGCAGTTGTTTAAAATTATTAATTAATTGTTAAAATTATTACCTGGAATAAATGTTGTGCTACCAGAACATTTGACTAGCTGATTCTGCATAGTCTCTCTTTCAGAGTCTACAGTAAGTGTCAATGAAAGTTAAACCATTTCTGATTCTAATGTCTGCTTTATTTTCTTCCTTGAAGTCTATGAATGTGTATTAGTAATAGAAGACCTGTAACTTTTTTTTTTTTAAGTGTCTGCTTGTATTCTGAAAGCTGCTGTTTCGTTTCAGTGCTCCCAATGGTGAAGAAGTACTAAATGAATCAGAGGTCAAGTTAGATGGTGTCAGACGGAAGATTAAGCAGGTTGCACAAGAGCTGATAGGTGAAGACATGTATCAGTTTCACAGAGCTATATCTCCAGGTAAATTATTTTAAGATACACTAAGTGTGCTATTTTGCACTGAACTCGATTTCTTGCCTAGCAGTGGTTCCTCTTCATGCAGCAGGTTTGAATGTAGCTCATTTCTGTGATCATAAAGCAGGACTCAGAGTTATCTTTGTGGTTAGCTGAGTTAGCTCTGATACTCTGAGAGTATCACACAGTCTTGTTAGCACTGCTGTTAAACAAGGATTTGCTGAAACTGGAAAACTTTGTACCCTGACCTACACTAAAGTTGGGAGTGGTTCTAATGAATGTACTGGTCAGTTGTCTTTGACTGGGAGGAGTATGTGCTACATACATACATACATTTACCCCAGTTGAAAAGGTTGTAACCTCAGGGAGTAAGAAGGAATGACTAGCTTGTGAAATAATACCTTTGTGAATTCATAAAGTTCATAAATTAAAATCCCTAGATGAGCATTTTCTTTCTTCTAAAGACTTGTAATGTGCACTTTGTATGTTTCAGTTACATCTTTTTCTGCTCTTCTCTGTAAAATAGCAATTTTTACTACCATCCTGGTGACAGTATGTACCAGTGCTTTCATCACTCTTGCTTGACTTTTTTTTTGCTATGGAATTTGATTCTTACCTAAAATTCTTTTGCCTTGTTTATGGCAAAATATAAGTAGTGTCTGTAACTGCTTCTTTCCTATCTTGGTCATGCTCTAGAAGTATCTTGCATTTACCTATTTTATATATATATTCCTGTGCATCTTTACTTGTTTAGGCAAGAAGTCTTCGGTGACTTCAGGGGATTTCAGGGGAGAGCTGCCCAGATTTAATTTTTAGAAAGTATTTTACTTCTATAAACTGTTGATAAATAAGTCTGTGAAGAGATGTAATTTACAAGACAAACAGAGCACAGGTAAACTTTTACTTATGTGTGTGAGCTTAAGGTCATCTAAGAGTGAAATGTCTCTTAACTTTACCAATTTTCAGTGGTTCTAATTCAATTCCACAGCTTGCTTGTGGTGGTGCATTTGGTTATTCAATTCAAATGTGAACAGTAACTTTTAGGAGAGCCATTTTACAACCTGTGTGAATCTTGCTGCTCTCTGTCACTTAGTATTTTAACAAGGCAATGAAAAAAGTGGTTCAAAACACTGTCACTACAGATGACCTTGAACTGTGAGCAGTAATTGTTCCAAGTGTTTGGATTTTCATTTTAAGTTCTGTTTATAAATGCTGAGAATCCAGTCCATTCATTCAGTTTTATGAATTAAGGCTTTTTAAAGCTTCCTTAAGACCTGTAAACATTGTCTGAATAACCTGTGAAGTTCATATTTTCTTTGCTATCTATATAACAGCATTGCTTGAGGTATGCGAATCTTTGTGAGACCTCATGCTGCAAGCTATCAGCTTTGCCACATGGGCAGTTATTACAAGGTAACCAGCTACCACCTGTTGGTTGCTTTACACCAGTTCCTCCTAGTTTCTTAGTATGGGGCTTAGCGTGGGTGAATTCAAGGAGCCATACCTACTTCTGTTTTTACAGAAAGTAGATTTTAGTTTTTAAATAAATGCTTCCTTGCCAACCTGAATAATTAGAGTTTTATGTAAAAGGTAAGTAAACTTAGTTTATTTATTTTCAGGTTGTTATTACTAGCTTAACGAGTTTCTGTTCAGGTTTGCTTTGTTTGATAAGCACTCATATACAGTTAGTTACGCTAATTCACCTTTGCTGATCTGTGACTTGCATAAAGATACCTATTAATATCAAAATGGACCAGAATAGGCTCTTCACAAAGCAACTGGAAATACCCTGTCAGCTGCAATTCAACATTTCTCAAACTTATCTTTGCTGTTTTAAATACCAGACTTTTAAAATAACAAACACATGTCCGTCCACTGTAGAACAGGTTGAATATAGACCTGTAGTAGAGGAAATCAGTTGCCTGCTGTGTATGTATGATGACTCAGTGCCTCCACAGCTGCAAAGCTTTTATATATGCAGTATATCCCCAACACTTGCATGTGGCTTGCAGTGAAGTGAGACTGTAGTAGAATTACAAAAAATCTTAGTAGTCTTAAGACAATTAAAGAGAATGAATCTGCTGACTTCTCTACGTTTAAAAAACAAAAAGGAAGTCAAAGAGCACTAGATCCTGAGGAGGAATAGAAGAGTAGAAGCAGGCTTTGCTGTCTATGTTTTCTTTTGATCAGGTATGCATACAAATGCCTGAAATTTAGCAGTTTTGTGGACTAATGCAGAAGATATAAAAATGCAGCCCTTCCATTGGACTTTTCCTTGTAGGTTGTTATTGACTGGAGTTGGACTGTTTGGGTTAGAAATGGAAATGGTTGTGCTTTCACCTTTGTCTGCTCTTTAGATGTCCATGAATCAATGGCAAGTCTGGAATCTCCTCAGTTGTATAATACTACCTAGCCCAGGGAGCTCCCAGTTGTTTCTGCAATTAGGTAGTTCTTTCCTCATTATAAAATATATATTGTATAAAATCCAGCTGAAGTACAGTGACCTTCATTCCGTTTCTGCAGGTCACCTGCATGGTTTATTGAATCATAGAATGGCTTGGGGTGGAAAGGACCTTGATGTTAGTTCCAACATTAGTTCCATGTTAGACCTTAGTTCCAACCCCATGCTGTGGGCAGTGTTGCCACTCATCAGTTCAGGCTGCCCATCCAGTCTGGCCTTGAGCACATTTAGGGATGAGGCATCCCCAGCTAATCTGGGTAGCACGTGCCAAGGCTTCACTGCCCTCTGAGTAAAAATCTTTCTCCTAATACATGATCTAAATCTCCCCTCTTTTTACTTTTAAACCATTTCCCCTTGTCCTGTCATGATCTGCCCATGTCAAAAAAAAAAAGTCAGTACTTAAATTTTGGCTCTTCCCTCAGTAGGCAGAGTTTGTGTTTGCTGGTGCCTGCTATGCATGTTTTGTAAGGGAGCATGCTAGAATATAGGATTGTGTCACTGGGAAGACAGAGATTGTGTTTAGGCATTGATTATATGAGCTCATGTCTATGCCAAGTATGAAAGGCGAACTTGTAGCACAAACGTTCCTCTCACCTTGTTTGTTGAATCCTCCACTCTTCTGTTAGTCATTGGGATGGAAAAAAGGGTTGCTTAAAGACTTGTAGATTTTGATGCAGCTGACAGTGGGATCAAGGTGACAGATATGAAGATGCTTGCTGTCAGGATCATGAAGCTGACATAGAAAACCTGGAAGCATGAGGAAAGAAGGAACAATTAGAATAAGAACAACTGTGAGAGGGAATGCTTTATCCCACCTGACCGCACTGTTTATGAAATACTGTAATTGTAAGGGAAAACACTGATAAGAGTTAAGAATGTTGCTTTTGGTTTTGTTTTTAAGTCTAGTGATTTTTAATTGTTGCCTTGCTTTTTTCACAGTGGAAATGTTTGCATGCCTTTCTGAGAACAAACATAATTAGGAAAAGTGCTAGATTGTTTAGGTATTTCCTGAAGCTGTAAGTCTTGACTTTCTCTTAGTGTTCAAGTCTGATTTTGTGTTCTGAAGAATTTCTGGAGAATTTGTTGAAAGTGTTCTCATGAGCAAAAACATTGCAGTTAAAGTGTGGTTTTTTTCTTCCAAAAAGAATAAAGAAACGCCTGTGTCCCATATCTCAAAAGCAGCGTGTCCAATTAACCTCAAACTTCCTAAAAATATTCTCCTTTGTCTTGAAACCAAACATGAAACATCCTCCTGTTCCCCACCCTATGTCTCTCTGAGTAAAAGGGATCAAAACTGGGCTCGTAATGGAAACTGCCGTCGCAGCCTCAGTTAAGGAGTCACAACTGTCTGCATCATAAAGCTGCCTAATACATATTTTATTCAGTATAATAACTGTTCACCTATAAATAGAGCAGTGCTATGAGTATAATGCTTGGGAATATTGTTTTCCACTTGTAATTGTTAAATGCTTTTTTTGGGGTTACTCCAAACAGTTGTTCTTTTGACTCGAAGATAAAACAATTCTGGCAGAGCACTAAAGGAGTTTCATGCTTTCCCTCATTAAGATTAGTGCTAATGGCACGCAGGACGTTTCCCCAAAGGACACTTGCATGAGCTCAAACACTGAGTATAGCACTAATTGAACAACAACAAAAACTGATGACTGTTTTCTACACGTTTCTTAACAGTACAGATTGTCCCAGGGGATGATTAAACAAGCAAACAAAGAGATACTGAAATAATGAAGTCTTTTTTTAATGTGGAGCTCTTCATTTGTTATGTTAGGATGTTCGGCTTTGTTGATATTTTTAAAGCTTTACTATTTGTAATATAGAATTCCTGCTCTTTGCCCCACTTTGCAGTGTATACCTTATATATCCTGTGAGGAAATGTGTACTGTTTCTTTAAAATTCTTGAAAGATGCTGTGCAAGAAAAGGGCTGAGAAAGAAGTTATGAATGTATGAAGTGAAGGGAATAAACTTTTCAGGATTTTATTTATGTAGTATTATATTATTTATGAAAAACTCCAAAATATTACTGCAAAATATCAGCAAAGGACAGGAAAAAGCTGTATAAACTCTGAAGACAGAGTATGCTCTGAACATTTTAGGATTTAGGATTATGTAAGTATTCCAAGTATGACCTGCATGTGCACTGCATAAATGCAAAACATATATTGCAGAGGGGAGCTTTGAGTCTGTGGCAGGTTGGCATTGGGTGGGAATGAATGGAGCACCATTCTAACATGGCTTATGAAGTGAAATCTCTAACTGGTGGAAGCAAGTCTTGCCCAGTTTTTGTCCCTTAACAGTATGGGGTGGAATCATGTGTGAGAATTGTAAGGCTGTTAAAGTGGTAAACCGTTTCCTATAGGAAACCTTGACTGAGCAATCTATTAAGAGCGATCACTTAAGCTAATTTAGGTGTCTTTACAGTGAGGTCAAGATTTTGCTAGGGACAAGTATAGGTGTGGCATTATCTTCGCAGCTGATAGACGTGTGTAGCTCCTTATGGAATGAGGAACCCAAATTTCTTTTGGGGCT